GGATGATCCCTTCTGACTAGCAGGAGAAGTGGGTCTGTCAAACAGAATTTGACTGAGCCTCACCAAGCTGCACTTCTCCTTGCAGGGCTACTACATCTTCAGCTTGTTGCCAGGCTATTCCAATGCTTAGCAGTATATATACATATTTAGCTTCTAGAATCAATTTATTAATTTCTACTTTACATTTACTGTGCCAGCATGATATTTCACCTAAGTGGCTCATTTTTCCCTTGCATTTACCCCTTGATACACTTGCAGGGATTGCAGGGAACAACAATTTTCTTTCAGTCTTCATTTTGCTCAGCTAAACAGCTCTAAGTCTCAAGATCTCCATTCTGCAGACCCCTCACTCCACATTCACCCCACCAGCCCTTCATAAGAGCCCAACAACTGGCCGTGGCACACTTCAGAGTTCCACTTTAATGAATTATTTGGATGTGACATTGCCTGCTGCAGCAAGCACATTCTCATGCAATAATGATTCTGTAAAATGCGTTAGTTGCTCAGATAGTTGTGGTCAGTGACAGGGCAAACAAGACACTGCAAAGCACCTTGGCCTTCATCCAACCAAACAAGTCGCTACAACCTTGGTCCTTCATATTAAAAGAAAGGGACTACTGGCTATTCTAGACTAGGTACAGAAGATAATTTTTCAGCCCTCTTTGCCTTTCCTTCAGTAAATCTTGGATTTATCTGAAATCAAAACAGAGGGAAAGAAACATCTCAAAGCGTCTTTTTAAATCCATACTAAGAATGCCAGTGGCTTGAATTTGTAGTCTTTATACATCAGCATAAAAAGAGGACTGAGGAATGTGGAATGAAAGAATACAAATCAGAACAGGTGTGTGTGGAAGGCAGATGTAAGAGCAGAAATCTAAATTCTACCCTTTAAAGGCAGGGGGAGAAAAAAGGTTCAGTGACACTGTAAGAGGGAACGGAACAAGAAAGAAATGTGTGAAAAGGCCTCTTTCTCTCCAGGCCTTACTCTAATGAGTAAGGTCTACACAGAGCTGAAGCTACAAGCTCCACTGTGCCATCTCTACACAGAGCTGAAGCTACAAGCTCCACTGCCCTTGACAACAGCTACCTTTTCATTCTTGCCATAAGCTATAAGCAGTGAAAACCGTTTAAATAGACAAGTATAGCAGCTATTTGAGATGAGTCCCAAGACACGACAAACAGAAAATGCGATAAACCAATTTAGAAGAGAGTCAGAATCTATATCATTGCTGACTTGAAGGATGTGCCTAATTTGCATGCCATGTCTTCGGTTCTTGCTGCTTATTTATCTAAGTCGTGCTGCCAACACAAGGCGCTGAGGAGCCTTTGGCTGGTAACAGCCACTACCTTAGACTGGATTTTGCTAAACTGTTCTTGGTGACTGGAACAACAGCATCTGGTTATGCATCTCCAACAGCTTACTCCTCTGCAGCCCCCAGCAACCATTCCTGCCCATCAGCCTCTTGAAGCACACATTGCTCTGTCCTAATTGAACTTGCCCTTACCCTGACTGTCTCAGTTGCTTTAGGCACATCTGCAGTTAGCAGCATTTGGTTCTGGGGTTTTGGTTGGTATAGTTTGGGTCTGAGTTTTTAAATTTTCTGATTTATTCTGGGTAAGGTATTTGAAGCCAAGCTGTATTTTTGGCAAACAGCTTTTCTAGATTTACTCCCTCTCTCCTGATGGCTTAAAATCATGTTCAGCCATATTTCTCCTTTAGATGCAGTTACTGAAGGCACTGGTGATACCCTGGAGAAACATACTGCCTAGCCTTTCCTTTCATGGTTTTATAATCATTGAGAAAAAAAACAAATATCACCCTGTAGCAAAGACAAACACCAGAATGGAAGTGAACCAATGAAAAGGTACAGTGAAGGAACTGAAATACATTTGTGCTCCCAGTGCATCACTCTAACAGATAACAGTGCTATCTGACTTCCACCTTTTGAAAGAGCTCAGTTGTTGCCCTGATAAAGTACAATAATCACCCAGAAATGGGCAGAGTTGCAATTTTTTTCAACTGACTGAAGAAACTGCAGGTCAGTGCTGAATGGGTAACCAAGAGGAATGAGTGCTTCCCAAAGTTCACACTCACTCCCAGTCATTCTCAACCTTCTTCCCACTTACACAAATACAAGTAATAAACAGAAAACCTTTTTTATTAACCCACAGCATTCATATATTAACAAGTGAAACCGTATATTAACAAGTGAAACAGCAGCTACAGAGTTTTCACATTTATATTGTGAAGCCTCCATCTAGATTATTTCTACTGAATAAAAGGGCTGCCCAATTAGCAGAATTAGTTTTTCCTCTTCTGCTTCCCTGTATTTTCCTCTCACCATTAAGTCACATCTGCTCCCCTCGTATTCCACATCCTATAAAAGTGCTCATCTCTCTCCCAGCTCACTCACTCCTCTGGATGTTTTTTCCTCTCCCATCTTCAACTCACTGGTTTTTACTTGTTATTTTCTGTACTCCTCCCAGCTCTGGCAGGTGTTGAACATCTCAGAGCACAGACTCTCCGTGGAAACAAAATATATTACAAAAAATTAATGGGTTTAATAATAATAAAAATATGGGTTTTTCTCTCCCACTATATATTTAAAACTTTCCCATCTGCCATGATGACAATGCCCCTTTCCTGCAACATGTCCCTCTTTTGTCCTCCCATTTCTCCTACATCAGCTCCATTCAGCAGAGCTCCTTGCAATCCACCCTCAGCTCCTCACTGAGATGACTCTGAGATGACAGGAATGCTCCTTTCTAAAGAAAATGAACTTGTCAGGCAGAGACCTGGTTTATGAGGACCAAAAACCTGACAGGGCTGGCAGTGGTACTACCTGCACTTAGTGCTATTTCAAGGGGAACTGCCCACTGCAAAGCCCACGGGGTGAAGCACACACAGTTAAACACAATTATTTGGAAAACACAGGGCCTGAAACTGGATCATGTTCACCAGCAAGTATCAGTAACCAAATGAGTTTGTGTGACTTGTGTATAAACACACATGGCCATTGGATGGGTATAACTCTGCAGGCCCTCCAGATAAGCAAAAGCAGAGCCATAGGTTGTCACAGCTAAAAATTTCTCTACCTGTTTTACTGCTCATTCCTTTAAAGGAGGTATAAACAGTGCTAGGGAAACAGTGAACATGTTTTACAACTGGGCTGTAGGGTTTTTAACACACTATTCTATTCAAGCATTTCCAAGGCAGATCCCAAAATAAAATGAGGTGTTCATCTGAAGGACAGACTGGCATCTCACATACCCCGTGGTGTACTCACGTTCGAGCCCACTTGTCCAGTTCTTCACCCAGGTAAGTTTTAACTTTCCTTGGCTGTAGTCCAAGAGAATTCCCAGCAAAGTACAGGCAGGTCTCCTCTCCGTTCACCAGGCCCAGATTAGCTGTGGAGGGAAATCAGAGAAACAACATACACATGGGAGCAAGCACAGGAGGGACAGCACATGTGTCTGCACATACACGTGTGCCACCACCCAGAGATCTTCCAGCCCCAAATCTCCACAGGACACCACAGTTCCCATGTGCAAATAGAGATGACCTTCATTCCAGGGCACCATGCAGGCTCCAGGACATCCAGACAATCTGCAAGCTGTTATTTCCCACATCCTCCTGCAATTTTTGGCTAAGTCCATCTATACTTGTTCTGGAGCTAATGTAAGTTAAATTAAATCCCCGGGATTCTGGGGCTGTGTGAACAGCAGCCACTGGCACTGATTTTGTCAGATGTCTAACCAACAGTGAGTGAATATGGAGAATTTTCCTGACCAGGCTATCTACTTTTCTTCCATTATCAATATATTCCTATGCCAAGTCATGAAACTACTTGAATTGTGCATATAATAAAAGTTAAGACTAGGTAAATCTGTGTCTTTCATGTAAGTTCTCCCTGTGTGTTTAAATCACTATTTAAAAAACACAGTGGTTGCACAGAATATTTTAAGGCAGTCTCAAAAGTTCTTGTCTTGTCAGCATATACCGTGGGCTGCACTTCACGTCAACATCTGAGGAGGAGGAGGAAATCTATGTTGACAAATCCTTTCAATGATTAGAAGGCAGGCAAGGCAGTAGAAATTTATAAATAATAACTCTAGTGAGGTTCTGAACAATTTAATTACCCCATGTCATCATCTATCAATCCAAACATTGCCTTTTTCTATTATTTCTCATGTTAGAGATTCTTGGAGGGACAAGTGATGGTGACCTTCTAGATGTAGGGAGTAATTTGCATTCATCCAAACATATACTTACAATACCCCAAAAGCTAGTATTACATGTGTTTTTGTTAAATATAGTCAATATAGCTCAGAAAAAAATAGAACAAATGAATGAGTATGTTTAGATACATGCTAGAAATGAAGGATAAATTACATTTCTCTCTGGGAAAATTTTATGTTAGGGCTGTAGGAAAATAGATTAGATGCCTGGAAAAGGTCTCTTACTACCTTTTGCACTAGCAATTACCAACTTCATTGAACTCACTAGGAACACATTTTTCACAAGTATGGACAACTTGGGTAATTTCTTAATTAAAGCTTTAGAAGCTTTTAAAAAGCATAAGTCAGACAGCATTTTCAGTCTAATCTGTTTTACAGATACCACATCTGTTTTTTGTCTCTGTTCTAATATGAATTAAAACAGAGAAGTATAAATATTACCCATGCTCCTAAATAGGTCCTATTAACAGTTCTTTTCCTATCAAGAAACACAATAATATTGTCTCACTGGGAAAAGAGAGAGGATCTTTGCTCAAGAATTTGGAGCTCAGTCTCTCTAAAACTCTTTATACCCCAGTCAAGCATTAAAACAGGTAAGGAATTACAAAGCAAACTAGCTTTTCTTGCACCACAGTCCTTTCTAAATAAAAACCCTTCCTGGGTCACTGCTGGAGAGAGATGGCTTTAACACCTCGAGAAAGTTGTGTTTTTCTACTTTTATATCCATTACTTTGGATATTTTTTTTTTCTTTTTTTTTTTTTTTGACACATTATCATCTCTGTATTGGGCTGCACTCTTTTCTGTTTCACAGAAAAGCTGTTTATTTCCTTCTCTCTGCCATCATTAATAGACTCATTTTGGACCACTGCTGCAGCATCTTTCTCATTTCATACCTTCTCCTGAGCAGCACCCCGTTGTGCTCCAACATTCCCTTCATCACTGTGATTTCTTTACAATAACATATTTGTTTTCTTAAGACTAGCACTTGTCTTTCCTCAAATTACACTGCCCTCATTTCCCACAGTATTGGCCCTTTTTTTTTTTAGAGGAGCTCTGCTAGATATGCAATATATATTGAAATAGTCACATGGGAAACAAGTACAATTGATTAAACAAAGGCTGGTGCAAAACAAAAGAGGTGATTATTGAAATGTCCTTAGAGTACCCTGAGTAAAAAAAACCACACATGAACAATAATTTACATTGAGATTAGATATATTCACCTACTCAGATTCATGAGAACTAATCAGATCTAGTAAGGTACATTATTTGCATACTAAATATATCCATTTGTCTACATTAAAGGTGCCTTTCTATACCTTTTAAACCTCAAAGAATAAGAAAGTTTATTTTCAGAAATATTCAGTCCAAACAAAAGGGAAAAATACAATGTCTTTATTAAGCAGACGGGAAGGACTAAATCTGTTCATACATTATCTGAGTTGTATCCCTTGTTGCAAGATAAAAGATCACCTCTTTCACACCTTCCTATACCTCCCTCACAAGCCCTTCAAACAAAGAGCCAGATTTATAAGATTAACCACTACCTTTAACCACCTCTTCAGGGAAATATAGCTCAATGCTTTCACTCTGGGACATCTTTTTATTCCCAAGAAACTCAGATGATGCTCCATTCCTTTACGAGATGACAAAGCACAAGCCACGGCCTTAATCTGATTGATGACTAAGTGTCCAACCACCAACTGCACTCCAGCCATTCTCACCTCCTCCCAGTGCACCAAAAAGCATTAAAGAGACTTTTTGTTGTCAGCTCGGAGCAGAGTGAAGAGATCCAAACATTTCTCTAAATCTTCTGCTGTCATCTCTTGCTATTTGCTCACCTGAGCCTCATCCCTCATCTTTGCACATAAAAACCCAAAGGTTTACCACGGACTTAGTCTGCTGGTGGTTTCCACTTGATCCATGGAACAAATAAACAGCTCTGACAGTTTATAAGTTGATAACTAAATTAAACTATTATAAGGACTTCCTAAATATTTTTAGGTATGTAATCTTACATTGCCTCCTATGGATGTTCCCATCTGCTTCTTGTAAGGCTTCTAAAACCTCATTGTACTGCTTTATGTTAATATATAAAGAATATTTGATGGCTAATATCTGTAATAACATTTATCATCAGAGGCACATTATCTAGGTTCTGCTCCTGTGCTCAGAAAAATGTCATGGGAGATCTCTCTCTATCATATAGACACACAGTGTAAATATATATATTTTTACACCCCTGCTGTTTTTCAGCAGGGAAGATGTTCTTAATGACAGCTGAAGCAGAGAAAAGAGAGACAGGGGAAAAGGAGGAGGAAAAAACCCTCAATTTGGGATCATGAGAATGATGGGTTCTCTCTGCTGTTCAACTATACTACTACGTAGGCTGCTTATCTTCACTGAAACACATTTAGCCACAGTCTCAGGACTAACTATCATACTCACTGGGGGGAACCACATCAGCAGTGTTTGGGCCTAAATATTATTGATAAACAATAATAGAGTTTGGAAGGCAAGCAATGCAAACTGACACAGGGGTATCAAAACCTCTATGTACTTCTCAGAAGATTCTTTACTCTGAAGCTGCTGAGAGACTACAGTGTCACGGGGGGGAACCACATCAGCAGTGTTTGGGCCTAAATATTATTGATAAACAATAATAGAGTTTGGAAGGCAAGCAATGCAAACTGACACAGGGGTATCAAAACCTCTATGTACTTCTCAGAAGATTCTTTACTCTGAAGCTGCTGAGAGACTACAGTGTATAGTATATAGTATATAGTATTATAGTATATAATACTTTCATATTCTTGGGAGACATTTGACACACTGCAGTTGAAGACAGCTGCAGTGCAGTTGTCCTTCTGGAGCTGGATTGCAAAGGGCAGCAGTGCAAAGGCCTCACAAGATGCCTTCCAGCATCTTTCCAGCTTTGGAGAGATGTTTTGCACCTCCTGCATCTCTGCTGCACTGAAGATTGTGCACCACACTGGCAGCTGAAGTGGCTCTGGGCACAGAATAGTCATATCCAAGCAAACAGATGGGGTTTAGGAAACCCTCTGAAATAAGCAGATGGGGAGAAAAACGGGAAACAAAAAAACAGACTTCTTTGCACATGGGCTGAGAACACCTGCTCTGTGCAGATGAAGCACCTAGTTAAAAAATTCATAAAGTGTCCATTTCTGCTCTGAATAATAAGAGTAGCAAAACTCAAGGATTTAAAAGATAAGCCAATATACTAGCATGTAGAGATCAGCCTCATGTCCTAAGGACAGGAGCAGACTGCATTCCTACCATGTATCATCTGTAGGAACCAAGATACTGAAGACAAAGACAGTTTCAAAAGATGTGCAGGAATTCAGACAACTGATACCATTTTCTACCACAGACCTTTACTGGATGTAATATGGTGAATGTGCCTGTAATTTCTCATGTACCATCAGTTCTTGATCTTTTCAGAAAGAAAAAAAAAAATCAGCAGAAAAATTAAATAAATCTGCATTTATTAGAAAATGAAAAGATGTTGCAAGAGAAATCTATGATAATTTTTCCTTTAATTTTTAATAGATACTTTCTACTAAGGCAGAAAAGGACAAGAATGACTATGCCTATATTCGTTCATTAACTAAGGGAATAATATTCCATTTCCTCAGCTTTCACCAGCTCCTCTCTTAATAAATTAAAGGTAGCCCTGTTCCCATGCCTGGGCCACAGACTCCCCAAAAATAACCTACTAACCAGGAATGAAGCAGAAAAATGTTGAGAACTATTTTGCACAGCTACGTTGAAGCCATGTGCAGTTATGTATATTTGTAGGCAATTCATGAGGCAAGTGGGAAAGATCTTCAGATAAAAAGGTTTCATTATGAATTACTTGCTCAGATCAATTATTTGTCCAAATGCACAGTCTTCCATTTGGCCTCAGGAAAAAAAATTATCTCTACTCCTAGCAATGAGATATAAATGTTAATATACATACCACCTCTTTCATTAACTAAAATAATTGCAACTAGATAGATAACACCAACCTATATCACACCAAGGAAGCAACTACTCTGAACTATTGTAAGCTACTTAACCAGTTCAAGCCATTAGGTAGAAATGCTTCTACCTGCAATTTTCAGGCAGTCACTCTACTGTTGAAAGGAGCTGACTGACAGCATAAGCACTGGGTAAACTCTCTATCCTTCCTTCTTATTCAGGATGGGAATGAGAGCATAAAGCTTTTGGTGCTAGAGCAAGTTGACTGATTGATTTAGCAACACCAGGGACATACTGTGCTCAGATATGACTGCAGTTGCTCCAGTATCTTCTAAGTGACAATGATTTCCAAAGATTTCTGATAAATACATGTAGAAGATATGAACCCCCACCCTTTCCCCCCACCACCCCTGCACCCACTTGCTGCCCCACTGCAATTAAAATTCTCACTTGGAGGCAGATCCTTGACTTTTGGGATGCAGAAACAGTCGCGGAGATGCTTTAACTCATCTTCTTCATCTAAGTGAATAGCAAGTTTCCTGTCTGTGGGACTGCAGCCGAGCCGCGAGGCGGTTTGATCCAAGACGGTTGCTGGTAACATGGGAGAAGATTGATCCATTTTCAGGTCATTCAATTTCACCTTAAAATTAAAAATGCCACAATTTAACTTCTGCAGGATTCATATTCACAAGCAGCTGTATAATTCACACTAAAGCTGTATCATTCAAGACCCAAACTTACTTGATTTAAAGCATTTCAGTATTTTAATAGAATGGTAAAACTGATCAGTTAAGTATTTCCCAGGCAACATGTTGCTGTAACCCCCAAAGGCTTTTTTTTTCCCCCACTCTGTATAGATACTATGCCATTCCCTTTTTCTGCTATATCAGCAGTTTCTAGGTTCTCCCACCATACTGGTGGCAGCTACAAACACTGAAGTGTAAATCCCAATTTTTGAGATCTCAAAGCCAGAGGTAGCATAAGTGTTTCTGCAGTTTGTGCTCCTAAAAATAGCAAGTGCACAGCTACACCAAAGCTGTTTCCAGGCTGGGCAACCTTCAACCTCTTTCAGATTTTCTTTCTTAAAAGTAGGAGGGAGTGTTTGTGCACAGCCATCCTCACCTACCACTGCAAAGCAGGCAGGATGCAGATGGCAAAGGCATTGTTAGAAATGTAGCTTTCAAGACCAGGTCCTTGAGTTAATATTTCCTTCTAGCTACAACAAATATCCTGGTGTTACAGCTTCATTCGTCCTGGGAAAGGAGAGCAGCCCAAGTCAAGCTGCAAACATGATAGATCAGAGTTTCTAACAGAATATATATATAAAGAAAGGTAACTGCAACATTTACAAGCTCATTGATCTTTATAAGAAGAATAGAAGAATAGTTCTATAACTGCACTTCTCAGAGACACCATTGTGTTCAAGAGAGCATTTGCGCACTGGGCTTTACAGATCTATTGACAAAGAAAATTTATGACATGTACTCTGTACTTTAGGGCAAAACTTCACCAGTGTTGCCTGCTGTGTTCTGTTGCAGAAGGCAGTAGAGAGGCTCACTAAGGTGCTTGATGGCTTCCCCAGTTTGAAGAACTGTACAGTTAGACCACACAACATTCTCTGCCTTTTTAAACATCATCAAGAGTTATGGTGCTATATAAATGCTCCAGAGGATAGGCAGAAGTAGGTCACTACTGGCACAAAATATGCAGCATGGAGCCACCAAAGAACATAGCAGGGAAGATGTTCTTAATGACAGCTGAAGCAGAGAAAAGAGAGACAGGGGAAAAGGAGGAGGAAAAAACCCTCAATTTGGGATCATGAGAATGATGGGTTCTCTCTGCTGTTCAACTATACTACTACGTAGGCTGCTTATCTTCACTGAAACACATTTAGCCACAGTCTCAGGACTAACTATCATACTCACTGGGGGGAACCACATCAGCAGTGTTTGGGCCTAAATATTATTGATAAACAATAATAGAGTTTGGAAGGCAAGCAATGCAAACTGACACAGGGGTATCAAAACCTCTATGTACTTCTCAGAAGATTCTTTACTCTGAAGCTGCTGAGAGACTACAGTGTATAGTATATAGTATATAGTATTATAGTATATAATACTTTCATATTCTTGGGAGACATTTGACACACTGCAGTTGAAGACAGCTGCAGTGCAGTTGTCCTTCTGGAGCTGGATTGCAAAGGGCAGCAGTGCAAAGGCCTCACAAGATGCCTTCCAGCATCTTTCCAGCTTTGGAGAGATGTTTTGCACCTCCTGCATCTCTGCTGCACTGAAGATTGTGCACCACACTGGCAGCTGAAGTGGCTCTGGGCACAGAATAGTCATATCCAAGGAAACAGATGGGGTTTAGGAAACCCTCTGAAATAAGCAGATGGGGAGAAAAACGGGAAATAAAAAAACAGACTTCTTTGCACATGGGCTGAGAACACCTGCTCTGTGCAGATGAAGCACCTAGTTAAAAAATTCATAAAGTGTCCATTTCTGCTCTGAATAATAAGAGTAGCAAAACTCAAGGATTTAAAAGATAAGCCAATATACTAGCATGTAGAGATCAGCCTCATGTCCTAAGGACAGGAGCAGACTACATTCCTACCATGTATCATCTGTAGGAACCAAGATACTGAAGACAAAGACAGTTTCAAAAGATGTGCAGGAATTCAGACAACTGATACCATTTTCTACCACAGACCTTTACTGGATGTAATATGGTGAATGTGCCTGTAATTTCTCATGTACCATCAGTTCTTGATCTTTTCAGAAAGAAAAAAAAAAATCAGCAGAAAAATTAAATAAATCTGCATTTATTAGAAAATGAAAAGATGTTGCAAGAGAAATCTATGATAATTTTTCCTTTAATTTTTAATAGATACTTTCTACTAAGGCAGAAAAGGACAAGAATGACTATGCCTATATTCGTTCATTAACTAAGGGAATAATATTCCATTTCCTCAGCTTTCACCAGCTCCTCTCTTAATAAATTAAAGGTAGCCCTGTTCCCATGCCTGGGCCACAGACTCCCCAAAAATAACCTACTAACCAGGAATGAAGCAGAAAAATGTTGAGAACTATTTTGCACAGCTACGTTGAAGCCATGTGCAGTTATGTATATTTGTAGGCAATTCATGAGGCAAGTGGGAAAGATCTTCAGATAAAAAGGTTTCATTATGAATTACTTGCTCAGATCAATTATTTGTCCAAATGCACAGTCTTCCATTTGGCCTCAGGAAAAAAAATTATCTCTACTCCTAGCAATGAGATATAAATGTTAATATACATACCACCTCTTTCATTAACTAAAATAATTGCAACTAGATAGATAACACCAACCTATATCACACCAAGGAAGCAACTACTCTGAACTATTGTAAGCTACTTAACCAGTTCAAGCCATTAGGTAGAAATGCTTCTACCTGCAATTTTCAGGCAGTCACTCTACTGTTGAAAGGAGCTGACTGACAGCATAAGCACTGGGTAAACTCTCTATCCTTCCTTCTTATTCAGGATGGGAATGAGAGCATAAAGCTTTTGGTGCTAGAGCAAGTTGACTGATTGATTTAGCAACACCAGGGACATACTGTGCTCAGATATGACTGCAGTTGCTCCAGTATCTTCTAAGTGACAATGATTTCCAAAGATTTCTGATAAATACATGTAGAAGATATGAACCCCCACCCTTTCCCCCCACCACCCCTGCACCCACTTGCTGCCCCACTGCAATTAAAATTCTCACTTGGAGGCAGATCCTTGACTTTTGGGATGCAGAAACAGTCGCGGAGATGCTTTAACTCATCTTCTTCATCTAAGTGAATAGCAAGTTTCCTGTCTGTGGGACTGCAGCCGAGCCGCGAGGCGGTTTGATCCAAGACGGTTGCTGGTAACATGGGAGAAGATTGATCCATTTTCAGGTCATTCAATTTCACCTTAAAATTAAAAATGCCACAATTTAACTTCTGCAGGATTCATATTCACAAGCAGCTGTATAATTCACACTAAAGCTGTATCATTCAAGACCCAAACTTACTTGATTTAAAGCATTTCAGTATTTTAATAGAATGGTAAAACTGATCAGTTAAGTATTTCCCAGGCAACATGTTGCTGTAACCCCCAAAGGCTTTTTTTTTCCCCCACTCTGTATAGATACTATGCCATTCCCTTTTTCTGCTATATCAGCAGTTTCTAGGTTCTCCCACCATACTGGTGGCAGCTACAAACACTGAAGTGTAAATCCCAATTTTTGAGATCTCAAAGCCAGAGGTAGCATAAGTGTTTCTGCAGTTTGTGCTCCTAAAAATAGCAAGTGCACAGCTACACCAAAGCTGTTTCCAGGCTGGGCAACCTTCAACCTCTTTCAGATTTTCTTTCTTAAAAGTAGGAGGGAGTGTTTGTGCACAGCCATCCTCACCTACCACTGCAAAGCAGGCAGGATGCAGATGGCAAAGGCATTGTTAGAAATGTAGCTTTCAAGACCAGGTCCTTGAGTTAATATTTCCTTCTAGCTACAACAAATATCCTGGTGTTACAGCTTCATTCGTCCTGGGAAAGGAGAGCAGCCCAAGTCAAGCTGCAAACATGATAGATCAGAGTTTCTAACAGAATATATATATAAAGAAAGGTAACTGCAACATTTACAAGCTCATTGATCTTTATAAGAAGAATAGAAGAATAGTTCTATAACTGCACTTCTCAGAGACACCATTGTGTTCAAGAGAGCATTTGCGCACTGGGCTTTACAGATCTATTGACAAAGAAAATTTATGACATGTACTCTGTACTTTAGGGCAAAACTTCACCAGTGTTGCCTGCTGTGTTCTGTTGCAGAAGGCAGTAGAGAGGCTCACTAAGGTGCTTGATGGCTTCCCCAGTTTGAAGAACTGTACAGTTAGACCACACAACATTCTCTGCCTTTTTAAACATCATCAAGAGTTATGGTGCTATATAAATGCTCCAGAGGATAGGCAGAAGTAGGTCACTACTGGCACAAAATATGCAGCATGGAGCCACCAAAGAACATAGCTTTTTCCCCTCTAAATATGTATTTTCCATAAGTATCATCTCTCTTTCCTGAAAACCAATAGTATATAACAGTTATCTAGAAACAAGTTGTGGAGGGGACAGATGATTATATGGATTGTAGCCCGCTGAGCACTACACTCACATCTCTTAACCTAGCTCAGATTTGTGTGGAAGATGATTTCCATTCAGGTAGGGTGATGGTATGTTCCAAGTCATAGATTATTTATTTTTTTTAATTAAACCCCTAATGTCATTTTTTGCTTTATTCTTTTTTGGTATAACTACATAAATGCTGATCAGAGAGGGTTTTTTTATCAAATTTTTATGTCAATCCCTGAAGACAATCCAAAACAGCTTCAGGCATTTATGGGAAGAACAACAGTTAATATTTAAATATAAACACCTGAGTAGCACAGACTCATTAGTGCCAATTAATCCAAACCTTTTTCTACTCTAGCCAAATGGCCAGCATGATGCTAGTTACCTGTTTTAATTTGCTATAATTTTGTTTATGATGAGAGCATTTTATTTTTACCTTCCAGACTTCATATCTTACACACCAGCACAGAGTCAAAAAAACCAAAAA